ATGGGGGGGGGGGGGCTAACACAACTTAAGCAAGTGCTTTTTCTTACAGAAGTATATTATTCCTTCTTGACATTTTTCTAGTATCTTGCAGAGGCTCTTTCCTTTGTCTTGATGAATATTTGAGGGATGGGCCTCAATCATCTGATCCACTTCACCAATAGCTTTTGTGCATGCACACAAGCAGTTTTGTCAACTGAGGCAAAGCGGCAGCACTTAGTCACTTGAAGGACTTTATGGAGGCACTTAAAATCTCCATTAAAGCAATGCACCACTTTGAAGATCTATGTAATATCTCAGTTGAATCCAGAAACAATTAATCAACATGAATTCTTATCTGCTAGAGGGAGTTAACAGCTAGCTAATGGCTTTCTCAGTACTGTACTATAAGCAGAAAGCTGAAATAACGTTGAAACCATAACAAGTCTGTGTTATCTAATTCCAGCAAACAAATTGGTTTGTTCTTTCTTTATAGTCTTTCAAGAGATTAATTTTCATAATGAATGGGTAACTAATATTCATACATTTTGTGTTATCCAACATTATCTCTGAAGGATGGGCTTCAATAACAGGACAGAGATCTATTAAATAGTACGTTTTGTATATCAATTGGACTATTGATGTAGTCAGTTCTAAATTATACTTATATCTGTTGCAAATTTGACATTTTTCATTAGAAAGAATTATTTATCCTATGACTTCTAAATTCAACATATCATTATGAGCCTCTGTGGCGCAGTGGTTAGAGTGCAGTACTGCAGGCTACTTCTGCTGCAGCCAGCTGCCTGCAATTTGGCAGTTCAAATCCTACCAGGCTCAAGGTTGACTCAGCCTTCTATCCTTCCAAGGTGGGTAAAATGAGGACCCAAATTGTTGGGGACAATATGCTGACTCTGTGAAGAGGGCTGTAAAGCACTATAAAGCAGTATATAAGTCTAAGTGCTATTGCTATTATGATGAGTTAGTTAGACAGGCAGGCAGGCAGGCAGGCAAATAGACAGACAGGAAGATAAATATAACATCACTTTTTGTCACATCAATCCATCTCACAGAATTATGGTTTATAATAATTATGTGGGGAAAATAAAAGGAGGAAGTAGTATCTATGCCATTTTTAATCATACAAGATAAAATAGTTCTAATAAATAAATAACTATCATGCCTTCATTTGTAAATTAAGGCAATACATTTCTTTTACACGAAGAATAAAAGAAGAGTTTGGACAGCCATTTGTCTGGAATCATATAGGGTCTCCTGCTTTGGACTAGAAATCTTCCAAGGTCCCTTCCAACTCTGTTATTATGTAATTCTGTAAATCCAGTATCTAATGGAATGGATATTATTCATTTCTCTTACTCAAACCTTTTTCTAGAGATAGCTATATTTACATAGTGAATCAACAAAATATAATTCCATGCCAATTTTTTCTGGTTGAGTAAAATTCCTAACATCCACAATAACATGTTCTGAATTATTAATCTGATTGAAAGTCTATTTACTTTACCCATTAACGGAAATTACAGAAAATATTTATATTGCTCAATTTTGCTACTTGGGCTTTGTTCATCTGTATTTTAAAATATGATTTTACTGAGTTTTATAAAGCTTTCTAAAAACAATAAGAAGCAAAACAAAAATCCAAATTCAAAAAGCAAATAGAATAGAATATAGAATAGAATAGAATTTTGCTTATTGTAAAGAAGATTGCTTATTGTACCCTATGACTATCATTAAGTGTTGTACCTTATGATTCTTGACTCTTGACGAATGTATTTTTCTTTTATGTATACTGAGAGTATTTGCACCAAGACAAATTCCTTATGTGTCCAATCACACTTGGCCAATAAAGAATTCTATTCTATTCTATTCTATTCTATTCTATTCTATTCTATTCTATTCTATTCTATTCTATTCTATTCTATTC